TTTTATACTTTTTTCTGATAAAATTATGGATTGATCATGCTGATTTAGCAATAGTTTAGAACTTGAGTAATCGAATGTCAATAACTTGAGGCAAGATACGTAGATTCGATTACAGTTATTCAATGATTATTATACAGGGTATTTATGTTAACATTAGCCAGCGTTTTTGTTGTAAATAGCAACATTAGAAAAGAATGAAAGAGGAAAAAGTTGTAATGTCTTTTGCAATATATATATATATATATATATATATATATATATATATATATATATATATATATATATTTTAAATCATATAAAATCATGTATCAAAACAAATTCATTCGTTTACGATATAGTGACCTTTACGATTACACAAGGTCAAATAGAGCCTTCAATGCACAAATAAATCGTATTGAACATTTACTGTAGCCTCTGCTCGAGTACACATTCAATCTGCTTTCTTTGTGTACGAATGCCTCCATTTGACCTTGTGAGACCTTGAAGGTCTCATTATGTCGTATACAAATTAATTAGATTCGACACATGCTTCCATATGATACAAAAAAAGAAAATACACACCAGTCCATTTAAAAAAATTGAAGATCACCTTCATCTCTAAAAAAAATAACGCGATTAAAGAACAATTATAGACACAGTTACATTATGTGCAAGAAATCAATACAACTTTCCTCTCTTTCATTTTTCAAACGTTTACTATTTGTCAGAAAAACACTGACCAGAATTAGCGTAAACACCCTGCGCGCGCGCGTAATACTAATGCTTACCACAGTCGGGTGCCATAACCACTTGTCCAACAGGGCAGTCATAGTCCGACTCCAGAGTCAACGATGCCGGGTCGGGAACCGTGTTAGGCAGAATGTCGTGCACATCGAACTGGTCTTCTTCCAGGATCAGTCTCTCCAACAAGGTCTGCACTGTTGCTCTCTCGTTCGAGTTCGCGTTCAAAATCGGATCGCTACAAACAATAGAGGATCGTTGGCTGATTGGCAATCGCTGGATCATCTATTGCAGCGATAGATGAAGGAGAGTATGCGCAAATATGTACAGCCGTTATCTTTAGGCGAAGGTAACCAGGCAGCCTTTCCATGGGATCCTCAGTAAGACCTTATCGACACCTATTAATTATGTCACCTATGTAACGTTTAATGTTCAAGACATCCTGAAATCCTAACATATGTATAACAGGTCTAATGCTATATGCATATATATATGTATATCATAGTTTAGTGCAGGGATTTGGCCCTGGTTTATGTCATCATGTTACAATCGATCGCCGAGCTGTTTGGTATTAAATCGTAGCAGAGACACGTGTCGAAGATGTTTCTAACGACGGTGGAATTTCAAGCGGCAACCAGACAGCTCGGTTCTCTAGTCAGGCGTTATACAGTTCGCGTTACATTGTTATTTGACTATTGTCTCGTTGGTACCTGGTTAAGTCGATCGAGTCCCATTTACACAGTCACGTGTGAACAGTTAGTAACAACGTGCATACCAGTCAGTTAGAATCGACGCGTCAGTCGTCGGAGAATCGCGCATTAATCGTAGCCAGGCTGCCTTCATCTTTTTCCGTTGATGAAGCGATATCTTAATTGACCTTGGTAAGTCAACTTCTTCCTACTGGTACCCACACAGAGAAAACTTCTTGTTACATCGTCGGACGGCAACTGAATCGTTTGGCCAATTTTAAAAATTCTTTGCATCGCACATCGAACACGATAAAATGTCTGATTAAAAAAGGAAGCTTCATAAATAAAGCTTCGAAGTTTTCTTGCTAGATTGGTCGTGTAACAGTCACTCGAATACAAATCTCCAGGGTAGCTTACGAGGAGAACTTGCGATCATGGATATCGTTTGAGTCTAAAATGGGTTAATATTATAGTGCATACCTATTATCGAAAAAGAAGTTTAATAGGAATGTTCAAAATAGGTCTCCATTTTGCAGATATTTTGATTCAAAGTTTACAAGCAACCATATGGATAACATATATAGAATGTTCATCTTTGAATCTAAATATCTCGAAAACAATACATTTTCGGGAAAACTGTTAAATACAAAAGTTACTCGACTTTAAATATCGATAAACTTTTGTATGGAACATCTCTCCCAAAAATGTGATGTTTTCGAGATCTTTAGATTAAAAGTTTTCAAATGATCATCCTGTATATACAGGGTGTCCCAAAATAATGGTACTTCCGGGAAATTAGAGATTACTGTGAGGTCATTCGAAGCAACTTTTTCCTTTACAAAAATTTTTTCTGAGGCATCGTTTACGAGTTATTGACGAAAAACAGTGACCAATGAGGGGCGAGCTCGGCTGGCGCGAAGCAACCCAACCAACGAGCGCACGAAGCCCAATTCCGCCCATTGGCTTGGCCGCCTAGCGCCAGGTCAGCTCGCCCCTCATTGGTCATTGTTTTTCGTCAATAACTCGTAAACGATGCCTCGGAAAAAATTCTTGTAAAGGAAAAAATTACTTCAAATCACCTCAGGAACTCCTCATTTTCCGGAAATACCATAATTTTAGGACACCATGTATAAAGTCTACCTAATTGACGCTCAGATTGCGCACAAAAATGGACAATTTGGGAAGAGGAGACACGATTATTCGAGCCTTGCGGTTCGTTTTTATAGTTACGAATTGTCAACGACTATAAAAACGAGCTACAAGGCTCAAATAATCTTGTCTCCTCTTCCACAATTGTCCATTTTTGTGGACAATTAGGGAGACATTACTGTATATGGTGGCATACAATCTTGAAATCAAAATATCTCAGAAACGAAAGCGCATTTTGAAGAATGCTATCAGAGTTTTTTAATATTAGATATATATTGTAACTTGAATCTACTCTTGTTTCAAAAGCGACTTCCACGACGTAAGTTTCCCTTGTCAGCTAAATAAGCTTCAGTTTTAAAGAAGATCACAAAGAATGAAGCTAATGGAATGAATGAAATTAATTGAACTTATTATAATTAACTGAAATAAAAATTCCTGTCTATAAATGTAAACTAGAGTGAACGAACAATTGAACAATCATTTCAGACAGATTTTTCTTCAAAAAATGATAGCTGTGCTTATTTCTCAGCCAATCATCTGTTCGAACAAGGATGAAACGAATGGATAAAAGTTCATTCAATTATTATTAACAGAATAATTCAAATTAACTGAAATAAAAATTCCTGTCAATAAATGTAAACTAGAATGAACGAACAATTGAACAATCATTTCAGACAGATTTTTCTTCAAAAAATGATAGCTGTGCTTATTTCTCAGCCAATCATCTGTTCGAACAAGGATGAAACGAATGGATAAAAGTTCATTCAATTATTATTAACTGAATAATTCAAATTAACTGAAATAAAAATTCCTGTCAATAAATGTAAACTAGTGTGAACGAACAATTGAACAAGCATTTCAGACAGATTTTTCTTCAAAAAATGATAGCTGTGCTTATTTCTCAGCCAATCATCTGTTCGAACGAGGATGAAACGAATGGATAAAAGTGTTCATTCGTAATTCAGACAATACAGATGGCAGTACGACATTGTAACAAATCTGCTGTTCTCCGTGTGCACCCATGCATCTACTAGGTAATGGTATGTAGATGATCACAAATGGATTTATAAAAATGAAAGGTGATGTCGGATAACACCGAGCCCCGCATGACGAGAACACATGTACAATGATGCATTTCGCACGTGGCGTAAATCGAGAGCTGTCCTTACTTTATCGCCGGGAACGAGATCTCCACCTCGTAGGTGTCACTGCCTTGCCTTGCCTGTCTCGTTCTACGATGCAACACAAGTAACAATAATGCTCAGTAACTGAATTCAAACGATGCCTGCTCGAATCGAAGCATGTCTGCGGCTAATACTAGGGCAAATCACCGTCGAAATTGGCGAGATTTCCGCGATTTCGAACGTCAAAAGAAAAAAGCGTGCGAATAAAGAAAACATGGGACACTTACGATTCCGCTGGAACTACAGCGGAAATGATGTAGGTGCCGCCGTCTTCTTCGTTGGTCTCGCGGGTAGTGCGTGCACGATGGTCGCATTGCACGTCGATATTCAAGTCCTTGCACTCGCGAGTCCCTGTTCAAGGACGAGAACGATTAGAACGTTGAATCTCTCGACGTCGAGTCGAAATAGGAATAGCGACTTGCCTTCGAAAGAGTACGAACAGAAGTTCCAGTCCCTGTTCAGCGAGTTCACGGCGTCCCTGACTTTCTTCTTCAGCACGCCCTGGCCGGCTTCGTTGCATAGAACCGACGTCGGGAAGTTCATCTTGATCCTGAAGACGCGCTGAGCCGGCGTAGCACCTGCATCGTCGAGGGGAATTATAGAAATCGAGCCGACGAATGAAAATCTGGGAACATCTGGTGACGCGGCGATAGTCTTACTTGTGCAAGCAGGATAGATCAGCGGAAGAGATGGGTCATTGGTAGGCCTCCAGAAGCCCTCGGCTCCGCAGGTATAGAACTTGGGTACCTCCTGCGAGAATCTGAGTCCGGAATTGCAGAAGATCTCGCAGACCTTGAACTGTCCACCAGAGCCCCAGTCTTTGCACTGTTGGGTGCCTCCGATCGGGTCGGCCAGCTCGGGGCAGAAGTCAGCTGAAAGATCAGTCGATTACGAGTCTCGAACAACCGATGGAACACCGGAAACGAAGTCAAGGTTTCAGCACAGAGACGAACTTACAGAGCACGTAGACCTTGAAATTGCAGCTGGCAGAGTTGCCAGCCTGGTCGTAAGCAACGTAGCTGATGTCGTAGGTTCCCCACATCAAGGTCTGGCCAGACTTGTGCCCGTTCTTCTCCTGGATCCTCGCTATCCCGACGTTGTCGATAAACCGCGGCTCGTCCCAGGTGACAATGGACGATCCGTTCTTCGCGATCACCCATAGATCACCCGGACAGTGGTCCACCTTGGGTGGGATCTTGTCGGACTCCAGTTGCTGGCACTTGCTACCACCGTAGCCAGGCGGACACACCCTTTGTCCACAGTGAGACGGTACCACTCTCTCAACGCCTCCAACCGTTTCGTCGTAACCAGCCCAAGTCAGCACCAGGCCTTGATAGAGGACAGGCTCGGTGCGACAGTCTCGGACCTGTTTTTGTATCTCGTTGGTCACGTGCAGGGCTCGGCTCCAGATCTGGACCTTGGTCAGGTGACCTTGGAACCCAGACTCGGTGTAGCCCTTCGAGTTCTCGCTTTGCGGCTTCCCGAGGACAGCCCAGGCGCTGAGAAAGCAGATTTCATATTTAATTTTGAGGTCGATCGAAGCGGCATAGTATCTCTACTATTTTATGAAACTCGGTATTCGAACTTACTATGCTGGCAGAGATCTACCGCTGCCATAGCCCTCGGTCTTGCTAGCAATAAGACCTTCGGTAATTAGGATCAGTTCACCGCCGTTGTCACCGTTCCATACCACAGCGACGTGATGCCATTGGCCGTCGTTGATCGTTGCGTACTCTCTGAACGGAAGATAGACATCTTGAAGGTCATGGAACAGGGACACTTGCACGCCATTGCTGTGCGCCTGGATCATCAGCCTGCGGTTTGTTGGCACGTGCGGAGAGCTGCGAAGTCAGGAGATATCGGAGGTTAGTAGATTGTGCACGAAAATGGACAGTTTGGGAAGAGAAGATACGATTATTCGAGCCTTGAAGCTCGTTTTTATAATTATTGACAATTCGAAACTGTAAAAACGAACTCCAAGGCTCGAATAATCGTATCTCCTCTTCCCGAATTGTCCAATTTTGTGGACAATCTGAGCATCAATTAGAGAGACATTGCTGCACAGTAATGCCTCCCTAATTGACACTCAAAGTGTGCACAAGAATGGACAGTTTGGGAAGAGGTGATATGATTATTCGAGCCTTGCATCTCGTTCTTATAGTTATTGACAATTCGAAACTATAAAAACGAATCTCAAGGCTCGAATAATCGTATCTCCTGTTCTCAAATTGTCCATTTTTGTGGACATTCTAATCTACAATTAGAGAAACATTACTGTACAGTAATCTTACAGTTGTTGACAATTCGAAACCATAAAAACGAATAAGAAGGCTCGAATAATCGTGTCTCCTCTTCCCAAATTGCCCATTTTTGTGGACAACCTGAGCGTCAATTAGAGAAACATTTATTTCATTCAAGGATCGTGCTGCGCGAAGACTTACCTAACAGCGTAAAGTGTGAAGAAGATTCCTGCTTCATCCTTTTGGATGTACTGCACCCACATGGCCACAGTTAAGCTCTTGCTCCCGCCCGTGAAGAACGGAATCACCTGTGCCGCGCTGCTGCGAGCCGGGTCGCTGAAGTACAGGTCGTAGTCCACTTGGATCGCTGAAAGATATTAATTATTAATGACAGCATTGGCGATTTGAAGACAACGATCCTCCTCGAACACTTACATTTCCTACAGTCATCTCCAGTTAAGTTGAACGGGCACTGACAGAAGAATTTCCCAGTGAGATCAATGCAGGTTGCCGATGGAGGACACGAGTTCTCTTTGCAGTCAACTATATCTTCCTCGCACGTTTTACCTGGAGATTAATTAATAACCGGCCATTAATTGTTGTACCACCGCAAGTGGCAGTTGCTCGGACTCTCTAATTAACACATTAAAGGCGGGGGATCTTGACGAAAGTATGCTAGGTAACGCGGCGACCGTCCCGCCTCGTTTTTCGCCCTCGAGCGGGCGATATTTTGTGTAATCATAAAAAAATTTAGACCTAAAAAAGTTTATTTAAACTCTTAAAACTAAAAAAAATATTAAAAAAGAACTAAACACTAATTACAAAAAATGTTTTAAAGTACATATGAGAAGTCGAGATAAATCGTAGTACTACGACTCCCGCCTTTAATGTGTTAATCAACAAGTTTGTAGCGACCAGTCGTGCGCGCAATGGAAACTTCAGTCCTCGTGCAAACGACCAGCGTAATTTTATGACCCTCCTTCGAAGAAGCTATTTTTGAGATGATAAGTCCCAAACCTTGGCAATGCATGTTCGCGATAGAGTTTTTTTTTAGAGATACCTCAATAGCTAACGGAGACCGTCATAAATTAGGGGAGTTTCCGAAGAGTACTCGAAGCGGACCCAGCGACCCAAGGGCCATGTGGTCCGACGCGGGTGACCCGGATGAAAAGTTCCACATGTTGTCACGTCCAGCTCATTATCCCCTCCGATTACCACGCCGTATCCCGAAAATACGCAAAGAGCGCAAGGGACAGGCGGTAAAAAGGGCAAAATGAACAACGCTGATTGGGAAGGCCCAACGCGTGGGGTAGTCAATCAGGGTTGTTCAAGAATGTTACCAGGGCAAACGGCGAGTGAAAAAACGAAGCTCAGAACTGCACCGCGACTCGTCGGAAGACAAAGTCCGCGAAAGAATAAAGAAGTATTCCACCGCACAAAAAGCGAGTGTACAAGTCCTTTCGAACTATCCTACCCAAAAGTTCATCGCAATCACCTGTGTATCCCGGTGGACAGACGCAAGTGAACCCAGGCCCGTCGTCGACGCAAGTGGCGCCGTTCTTGCAGGCTCCAGCCTGACAGGCGTCGTACTCGTACTGACACCCGATGCCGGTATAATCGTCGGGACAGGTGCAGTTGAGTCCAGAGCCGAAGTCTTGGCAGCGGCCATTGTGCATGCACGGGTTGCCAATGCAGCGTTCCGGGGCGGTCTCGCACTGTTTGCCATCGGTTCCTGAGGGACACCTGCAGACCCGGAGTACCAAGAGTGATCCCCATCCCGCGCGAAGGCATCCAGTGCCAAGAGTATCGGAAGATCTACTTACACGCAGAAGTAATCCATGAACAAGTCAACGCAGGCCGCGTCGTTCTGGCAGGGATGGTTCTGACACATGCCCACGTCGATCTCGCAGTGGACACCTGTCCATCCCTCGGGGCACGCGCACTTGAACCCTCCGACCTCGTCCCTGCAAGTGGCGCCGTTCAAGCAGGGCCCAGAGGCACAGTCGTCGATGTTAATCTCGCAAGCAGCGCCAGTGTAGCCTTCGCGGCAGTGACAGACGAAGGTGTTGTCAAGGTCGACGCAGCGGTCCGTCCCGACAGGGCTGCAAGGGTCGCTGAGGCACTCGTCCAGCTCCGCCTCGCATTGAAGACCGACGAATCCTGGCCTGCACTTGCACACGAATCCTTCCAGCTGGTCCAAGCAGGTTCCTCCGTTCTGGCAAGGGTCCGACGAACAATCGTCGATGGTGTGCTGACACTGTTTCCCAGTGTACCCAGGCTCGCAGGTGCAGGTGTACCCGTCCACCTGATCGATGCACTGGCCGTTGTTGCGACAGGGTTTCGCGGAGCATTCGTTGATGTTGGTCTCGCAGGCTGAACCGGTCCACCCGGGATGGCAGATGCACTCGTGGCTGAACAGGTTGTCCACGCAGATGCCGTTCAGACAAGGATTTCCTGAACATAGGTCGATCTTCTCGTGGCAGCGCTTGCCGGTGAATCCTGGAGGACAGTCGCAGCTGAAGTCCGCGATTAAATCGGTACAGTTGGCTCCTAGTAGGCAAGGCTTCTCCGCGCAGTCGTCGGTGTTGATCTCGCAGCTCTGACCTTCCCAGCCTGGCAGGCAGTCGCACTTGTAGCGACCTTGCTGCAGGGCTACGCACGTCGCGCCGTTGTTGCAAGGGTTTCCGCTCGCGGTGCAGGGGTTTATCTGCAATTGTTGAAGCGTGAAAGGCTGCTCGAATTGCTGCATACGATTTGGGAGCAGGATCGGGAATGATGGGTTCTTTTCGACCGATTCTCGGGAGCTCCGCTTCTAAAGTCAAGCCTTTCCAAAGTGAATTTAAATTTTGATGTTTATAAGCAACTTGGAAATATTTTTCAGAAGCATCTTTCGTGTTTTGTTAAATGGATTAACCCTTTGCACTCGAGTGGCGACTCTGGGGCACCGCTAATATTTCTTGTATCATCTTTTAGGATCATTTTGATGTTAATAAAGTTTAGATTTTGAAAAATTGTTAAGAGTGTAACACTGTTGCGCGAGTCCCAAGAGTCAATTTTCATGTATGCATAAAATGCATTTTCTCATATAAAATAGAAATGCTGTAAGTTCGAAAAATGATTTTATATTTTCAGTCGAAGTAGCTTCGAGAGCAAAGGGTTAAAGTATGAAATTTTGCAGCGCCCAGCTTATTCGCCGGATCTTTCGCCAACCAACTTCCATTGTTTTAAACACTTAGAATGAAAATGAAGACGGTCTGAAAAATTCCGTATCAGAGTTTATTGATTTTAAAGATCAGAATTTTTTTGAGACAGGTATGTATGAATTAAAATCTCGCTGGGAAAAGTGTATTGAAGCAAATGGAGCGTATTTTGATGAAATAAAGAGCTGTTGAAAAAATATATGTAGTCTTATATAGTCACTTAAAAATTCGACATTTCATACTCACTAACCTGTCTCTCTAATTGACGCTCAGATTATTCACAGCAATGGACAATTTGGGAAGAGGAGATACGATTATTCGATTATTTTTATATTTTTTATTTTCTAGTCATTCTAAGCAATAGAAAAATTTTAAAATTGCGTAATCTGAGTGTCAGTTAGGGAGACATTACTCTACATATATAAAAACAACAATATACAATTGAAATGTTTTAAAAGATGCGATATAGATAAAATGGATTATTTAACCTTGACATTTCATACGCACCAACCTAATACAGAAATGTCTCTCTAATTGACGCTCAGATTGTCCACAGCAATGGACAATTTGGGAAGAGGAGATACGATTATTCCATTATTTTTATATTTTTTATTTTCTAGTCATTCTAAGCAATGGAAAAATTTTAAAATTGCGCAATCTGAGTGTCAGTTAGGGAGATATTACTCTACATATATAAAAACAACAATATACAATTGAAATGTTTTAAAAGATGCGATATAGATAGAAAAGATTATTTAATTCGTCGAGAAATGTGGACGTCACTTTAGTGGACACAGTAATTGGCACACTTACAATTTAACCTTGACATTTCATACGCAGCAACCTAATACAGTAATGTCTCCCTAATTGACGCTCAGATTGTCCACAGCAATGGACAATTTGGGAAGAGGAGATACGATTATTCCATTATTTTTATATTTTTTATTTTCTAGTCATTCTAAGCAATAGAAAAATTTTAAAAAAGCTTGTCAACAACTATAAAAATTTGTCTCTCTAAAAACAACAACTATAAATGCTTATCAGTTAGGGAGACATTACTCAACTTACACAAAAATAACAATATACAGTAATGTCTTCCTTACTGACGTTTAGATTGCCCACAAAAATGGACAATTTAGGAAGAGGAGATACGATTATCCGAGCCTTGCGGTTCGTTTTTATAATTGTTGACAATTTACAACTATAAAAACAAGCCGAAAGGCTCGAATAATCGCATCTCCTCTTCCCAAATTGTCCATCTTTGTGGACAATTTGAACGTCAATAAAAGGGAGTCATTACTGTACATACAATTGAAAACTGTTTTAAGAAGTGCGATATAGATAACAAAGATTATTTAATTCGTCGAGAACTGCGGACGTCACACTGTAATGGGCACAGTAATTGGCACACTTACCCTAGTACAAATTTAGAGGATTGAACTTACCGTGATGTCACAGTCGACTCCGGTGTACCCGGACCTGCAGAGACACGTGTAATTATTGAACCCAGGCTCATCCTTGCACATGGCCCTCTCTGGGCAGGTTTCATTGCTGCAGTCCGACTTCTCCTCCTGGCAGTTCACCCCGGAGTACCCATTGGCGCACTGGCACCTGTATCCCTGTGGCAAATCGATGCAGGTCGCGCCGTTGTAGCAAGGCTGGGAAGCGCATTCGTCGATGTCGATCTCGCATCGCCTTCCAGAGAAGCCGGCAGGGCAAAGACACTGAACACCGTGGCCCATGGGAACGCACAAACCACCGTGCTGGCAGACACTGTCGGTGCACTGCACAGGCTTGCATTCCTCTCGGCCAACCGCACCTGGAGCATCGGTGTACATGTTCGTTGGGCACTCGACGCATGTCGTCGCCCCGTGCTGCGGCTGGAAAAAGTCCTTCGGACATTGGGCGCAGGGTGCTAGGCCAGTGTCCGAGTACATGCCGGGAGAGCACTTCGCTCTGCATCTGTCGCGACCTGGCGCGGACGGCTGGTAGGTGAAGGTTCCTGCTGGACAGGTCTGGCAGTCTTTGTAGCCTCCGATCGGAGGTTCGCCGGTGTAGCTGTTCCTGGGACATTCGAGACATGGCACCAGACCCGTGGGCGAGTAGGTGCCGTATCCACAAACTGGGATGCAGTCGTCTATGCTCTTCGAACCCTCTTCCCTCGTGTACGTGCCGAATGGACAGCGCAGGCAGGAGCCTTGGCGGTCGCTGTTTTGATAGAAACCCTTTGGACAGGATGTACATTGCTTCTGCTTCTCTCCGGCGAAGGTGCCCGCGGGACAGTGCACTGCAATTGAATTTTAATTATTGTACAACTGAGCTGGTTTAAGGAATCTCTGGGTATGTATGTGGGAGAGAAAGATGTGTGACTCGATGGTTACTGATTTGAGAAAGAGAATGCGGCAGTGTAGTGTTGAGAAAAACGGACGCGAAAAGTGTGAAACATGAGACCATTGACTATTCTGGATATCTCAGTAAAAATCATTTAGTTATAGTAGGTGTCCCGGAAATGTCTCGCAATCCGGAGATAGGAAATTCTTGGAGCTATTTGAAGTAACTGTCTCCTTAGCGAAAATGCAATCTGCGGCTTTGTTTACGAGTTATTAATGGAAAACTATATGTCTAATGTACACAATGAGAAAAAAGAGAGAAAGAATGAGTGTCGTTCTCCAAATTCATTGACCTGTTAAATTCCGCCGAACGTCGATTGCCAAATACATAATAAATTCACACCAGCAAATCGTTTTCCATTTCTAACTCTTCCATTCAGACGATTGAAATTCCGAAGATAGCGATGGCTTCAACCTTGTCACTGTTGTAAGACAGTACTTGTAGGGTTGCTCTTGACCCTTTCGGTACGAGCGCGTTGTCCGCCGTGACACTCCCACTGTACGGGGTGGCGCGCCGAAAATGCGCACATAACGCAGGGTCAGTCCACTTTTGTACGAAGATTTTCTTAAGCGTTAAGTATGACTGTGCTTAATTCGTTTCTCAATTTTTCTTTAAATGTTTCCTGTAAACATTCTGTAAAGGGCCTACAGAAATATGGCTCACATGAATGCCAGATGTATTCGGCACTCGTCCATATTGGTTATCAGATGGATGCCGGATATATCCGGCGCTCGTACCGAAAGGGTTAATGCTGAATAGATTTAGGTTCAGAAGATAGCAGTCTACAGATGTTAGGACCACTGTACTCACAGCATCGTGGAACATCGTTGGTGTCCATGTTCAGAACCTCGCCGATACTGCACGTGAACCCTCTGGTAATAGACGACTTCAATGCCCTGAGAGGTGGACACTGATTGCCAATGGCAGAGACGTTCAACAGAGGCTCTATCACAGCGCTGGTCGAAGGAACGGAGAGATCGAAGATCAGGTTCAGCGTAGATCCGCAAAGATCGTACAACTGGGGCTGCCGTACGGCCGGGACGATGACGAGAATGAAGTCCATCTGTAATAAAAAAAAAGTAAACCGTTATTGTAAACGCTCGTATCGCTGCTCTGCGATATGCTCACCTTCAGCACGTTCTCTTCCAGCAAATAGGGGACGGATCGCACGAAAGACACGTTCATGTTTACGTTGACAGCGGAGCAACGTTGCGTCAGGATGTTATTCAAGTTCATGTAGTACTGAGACATGAGGTCCTGGTACTGCGGGAGGCAAGATCTCGAGACTGCGCCGTTTGCGCGATAAGTCACCGCTGCCACCACGTGATAGTTAGCCTGCTGAGTGTCTGTGGAAACGAAGATACGCGTGCGAATGAATTGTTCGGTCGTTCGTCGCGTTTCAGCGCGAAGGGAAACTCACTCTCAGAGACGCAATCGGGAACAACCGAAGCGGGGGACCAGTGCTTGTTCACGTCACAGGTGAACGTCTTCGTGGGAGCACCGTCGGTGAACCTGAAGCCGTTCTTGCAGGTCGCTACGCACTGCAGACCCTTGTCACCGGGCACACACTTCAATCCTCCATGAGCCGGAGGCTTCAGCTCCCAGTCAACGCAGGGAGTAGCTTGTACGGAGACTTGGAAATGACAGGATGCTCTGTTGCCGCTGGAGTCAGTCGCGTAGACGGTCACATTTTCGAAGCTGCCGATCGGTATTATCGCTCTTTCCGGCACGAAAGTGATCTTCACTGGCCCGGAAGCGTCGGTCGCGTTGATTCGTCTTCTAGTTTCGTTGAAATTGACCGTGTAACTTTCCTGTTTGTCGATCAGCTCGATCACGTAGCTCTGGGGACAGCTCAGTTTGGGTGGCGTCAAGTCTGCAATTATTCATCGTTAGACTCTGAATGTTTAGTCTGCTGTTAAATTAAGATAATTTTCAGTAGAAATACGCTTGGATGGATAAATCGAAAGAGGTGTGCATGTAATATGGACAAGTTGTCTGCAATTGTTGACATTTGTCTGCATTGCTAAACGAGTACAGTAATGTCTCTCTAATTGACGCTCAGATTGACCACGAAAATGGACAATTTGGGAAGAGGAGGGAAGAGGAGACACGACTATTCAAGCGTTGCGGTTTGTTTCTATAGTTACGAATTGTCAACAATTATAAAAACGAGCTTCGTATCTTCTCTTCCCAAATTGTCCATTTTTGTGCGCAATCCGAGCGTCAGTTAGGGAGACATTACTATATTCATATAACATACGTCATAAACGAGGGTTTAAATGAGAGTGTTTTTTGCACACATTTTAAACGAGTGTGTTTTCTGCATACATTTCCGTGTGCTTTCGTTATAATTTTACCTCATACGAACGCTTTTTAATGTCAAGACAAGAATGTAATAAAAATAATGTACATAAACAATCAAAAGTCCTCCCTCCCATAAAATTTACATATACTTGAAAGAATGAGTGAAGCTTATTCAAGCAATCGGTATTATAAGACAGCTATTCAAATGAGCAGATGACCTATAAGCCATCGTTACATTTGAACACTAACCTGGAACAGTGATGTTAATCTCGCAGATAGCGACGTTTCCGTCGTAGTCGAACGCCACGTACTTCACCACAGTGTCCTCGAACACCCTCAGAGGTGTCCTAAAGCTGTGAGGTTTCACCTCGAGACGGGCAATGCTGCCGCTGTTGTCGATAGCAGTGGGCTCGGTGAAGTTAACAGGCAGAAGTCCTCCATCGGCTCCCTTCTGGACGACGATCGGCTGCTGGGGACAGTTCTGGAAGACCGGAGGCTCGTTGTCGACGCACGGAGAGAAGCCATAATCGTAGCCGAGAAGTGGTTCCGCGACAGGCTCCTCGCAGCCCATCAGCTCGAACTTGAGACACGCGTTGTCCATATAGCTGACGATGCCCAAGATGACGAACCGCGCTTGAACATATTTAGGCAGGGTGATCATCGCCAGTTCGCCGTAGTTCCCGGGATCCCGCATCGTCAGATTGAAGTTGGGGAAGTAGACGACGTAGTTCTCGTTCTCGGCCTGCTTGTAGAAGAACCTGATCTCCGTGGGCCTGCCGACGATGTCGTTCGTGACCACTCCCTTCACCAGGATCGCCTTCACGCGGAACACTTGGCCAAGATCGACGCTGACGTACGTGAAGGCCTCTTGCTTGCCGCACCAGCCGGTCACGGAGTTCAGCCGGACGTTCTTCGCTTCGTAGTTCGGCTTCTCGGAGGTCGCGTTGATGGCGGAGTCCGGGATGCGACCGGAAGCCAAGCCCAAAGGCTTCACGACCTTGCACTCCGGCTCGCGGACGCAGACGATTGGTCTTGGATTGATGAGAATGTACCCGGGTCTGCTGCAGCCGAACTGGACTTCCGATCCCTGCTCGTAGCTCCTGGCTACCTGGAAGCCGTCGCTGGGCCTGCCAGGGTCCTCGCAGACTGGACCCTCGCACCGAAGGTTGCCGAAGTCCCAAATACCGTTCGCTTGGCACCTGACGACGTTGTCGTGTCGGTTCGTCTGTCCAGCGAGCTTGAACGTGTCTTGGCAGCCGAAGAAGAAGGACGACTGGTACTTCGTGTCCAAGTACTGACCGTACTCGGCGCCAGGAGTGGGCAGCGGCTTCCCGCAGTCGGCTCTGGGACAGGCAGGTTGAGCTCCCGAGAGCCAGTAGTCCGGGAGACCTGGTTTAGGGTCGTAGACGCACTGACGGAAACCGGAGGAAGCTGTGTTGCGAAGGTAGCGACCGTTGCTGCCGCACTTCAGGGTGACGTTCTGCTTGAATGGCACCAGGACGCTCGCTTCGTCGCTGCGGACCACCGACAGACCCTCGTTCTTGTCGTCCGGCAAGGACACGCACTTCGCATCTGCCGAGAAATAGTGATTATCAGCAGTTTGTTGGAGCTTGGGATCACGAACAGTGCAGTCAAAAGTCGCTACGCAAGAGGCGACGCGTGCGCAGGAAGTCCCAAACAGCAACGTGGATGTCTACCGCGGGTGAACAATACAATCCTGATCTATTGGGTTGGCAACTAAGTAATTGCCGATTTGTTCAATGAAATAAAAAATTTTTTTGTATTTGGAGCGAAGTTTCATCTGTAATGTATTTTCCATTTTGTTCGATGACCTTTTGCCATCTCTCTGACAACTTGAAAATTCCAAGCTCGTAGAAAGTATGATCCTTTTCGGCCAAAAACTGAGTTAAGTGAGATTTTACAGCGTCATCATCGTTAAAAGTTTTACCACGAAGAGAGTTGTCCAGGGATCGAAATAAGTGGTAATCCGGTGGCGCGAGATCAGGACTATATGGCGGGTGTAACATCAATTCCCAACCAATATCCGTCAATTTTTGCCGAGTGGACAAAGACGTGTGCGGCCTAGCATTGTCCTGCTGGAAAATGACACCTTTACGATTGACCAATTCTGGTCGCTTTTCCTTGACCGCTGCATTCGATTTGTCCAGTTGCTAACATTCACGGATAATAAAAAATAACATAATAATAATAGTAATAATTTTATAATATATAACATTTACGGATATCATAAAAATGGGAGTGAGAGACAACTATAACTGAAATCGGCAATTACTTAGTTGCCAACCCAATAGAATTCGAAGCATGTCTAAAAATTTATCGCCTTTCTCGCACAGTTGTTGATATTGGACGACCACCGGGGTTCTTTTTAACATATTTTTCTTTACTTTTTAAACAGTTATGAATTATACAACGACTTCTCCCTAATGTATGGACAATTTTTCGCACCGAGCAGTTTTCCTTCTTTAAATTGTTAATTATGTCGATCTCCGTTGTATGTAGTTTTTTGTCGTGCAGCATTTTCTACAATCAAAAACTATCGCACGCACAATATCACTTTAAATATTGCACGCCTAATAACAACAATTGGAAACGAAAGTCTGTTCTCGTAATGTTTAGTTTGCCGGTTTAGCGGAGACTGTGTTACAGTTTTGTCGTGGATACGATCGGGCAGAGCCTCTGCGTCGCGTCGCCATCGTAGTTCAGAGAGGAAGACGCCCTACGCCGCTGTGCGGAACTCCTGCGCATGCGTCGCCTTGCGTAGCGACTTCTCCTGGCTGCACCGATCGCGAGTCAAGTCAGATTACTCACACTGACACTCCGGAGTAGTGCCGTTCCAAACGCCGCTGGACGTACAAATGACGGCCGATGATCCGGACAACACGTAGCCGAAGTTGCACTGGAACTTGACCAGATCGCCGAAGTGATGTTGTTGCTACAAAAGACATCGGGGCGAAGATAACAATCCACTCACAATTTGAGCAACAAAAATGACAAAAATTACACCAGCTATTCACCTTGGTCGACAAGGTCTTTCCATTCTCCGGCGCGGACAGGGCAGGACACATGACAGGCACGCACGTCTTATTCTTCTGGTACAAGTCGCCATCCCTGTCCCCAGTTTCATACTTCTCGATGTAGAATCCAGCCGTGCCGTTGCCCTTGTACAACTCGTAGCCCGTGTTGCACATGCAAGCGTAGCTGCCAGGATTGTTGATGCACTTCTGATGGCAGCCGCCGTTGTTGATGGCGCATTCGTTCACGTCCGTGCACTCCAGACGAGTGCATCCCATGATTTCCAGCTTCATGCAGGGCGCGCCGATGTAGTCCTGTATCCTGAACCTTATGTACCGTGCCTCGATCGGCACCGGCAGGTTCAGAACGGACAGGGTTGGCTCCAGGATTCTGAACTCGACCGGGGTGCCGTCAGGGTTCGTGTAGTCCTTGAAGGCGTCCGTCAGGTCGTCGGTGTATTGTATGCGAACTGCCGACGTGTACGCTATGTTGCCGTCTACTCTGGCAACGACCTGGGTTCGGAACCCGCGGATGATAGTGGGAGCCTTCATGTCGATCATCACCCAGTTGGTCCCCGGCTCGATGTTGTTGCCGCACCAGCCGTCGCCGTTGTTCAGACGGATACCCTGAAATGTCAGAAATCGCGAACGTGTGTTTATTTGGATCATTTGGGAGACGACAGAGATACAATTGCGGAGGTATACAGTGGTGAGAATAATTGTAGACTAAATGTAACTTTTACATTTTTCTACCGACGTTTAAACGAAAAGTTAATGATACAGGATATCTGTATATTTTCATATTAGAAATAATAGAAAATAGAAATATACAAATATAATCGCGTTCTTTTGTTTTTGTTTGAGTATTAGTAAAATTGTAAAAAAATGTAAGATGTTACTTCGAGTTTATAATTATTCACAAGACTACAGGTGGTCACTTTTAGCTGAGACACCAAGTATATTTGAGAAAAGACTTAACAAAATACCGTACTTGTATATTTCTATATTAGAAATAATGGAATATAGAAATATACGAATATGATATTTTGTTAAGTTCTCGTTTAGGTATCAGTAATAATGTAAAAGTTACGCACACTACTGTATCTGGACACCTTGAAAGACTAACTTTCTCAAAATTGTACCAAACGAGTTGAAGATTTTTAACATGTTTGAAGAACTAGTTTACTAGACAATGGAATGAAAAAAGATGAAAGAAATCACGTTTCCCAATTTTTTGATCTGACTATATATATTTTAAAACTGGACTAAGTGACTTGATTCTTTTTACATATTACAAGGACTAATTTACTAGACAATAGAGTGAAAAAAAATGAAAGAAATCACGTTTCCCAATTTTTTGATCTGACTATATATTTTAGAACTGGACTAAGTAACTTGATCTTTTTTACATGTTAGAAGGAATAGTTTACTAGACAATGGAATCAAAACAAAATAAAAAAAATCACGTTTCCCAACTTTTTTATCTGTCCATGAATTATAAAGCTATACTAAATGACTTGATTCTTTTTACATGTTATAGAAGAACTAGTTTACTGTACAGTGACTATTACATGGTAATAATATTCTCAGAACATGACAACAAGAAATAAAAACTCTAGTCTTTTACTTTCTTTATTTATGTTGAAACAAAATAAAAGACCAATGGAAAAATAGAAGAGTCTGTCCTCACCGTCTTCATGTATCCATTTTCGGAGCTCGAAACGGTGATCGACTCATCAGGAATGCCCCCGTTGATGAGCCCAAGGTCCCCGATTGGCCTGCACTCCATGGTAGGAGCGAAGCCAGTCTTGCACTTGCAGGTGAACGCTCCGGGATTGTTTATGCATTCGGTGGAGGCCAGATCGCATTGGCTCGACGCACACTCGTTGATATCTGCGAAGCAATGAATGTCGATGAAGCAGCAACTGGCTAACACCTAACTAATAAAATCGCAGAGCATTCAAACCCACCTTCGCAAGTAGGAACGTTATCGAAGTGCTGATTCGGTCCACACTGTATGATGTTCGAGCCGGATAGTTTGTAGCCTCTGTTGCATTGCACCCTCGCTTCGTCGCCATAAAAGTAGTCCCTGGACATGTCCACCACGAAACCGTTCTTGATCGTGGGCAGCAATGGACACTTTGCTCCTACACGAAGCATTGTTGATTATCGTTGGGCGACAGGTTTTGCAATCTGATGCGAGCGGAGTCTAAATACTTACTGGAACACGTTGGCACCTCGTCGGACCAGGTACCGTTGCTCATACAGAGGATAACAGGGTGTCCGCTTCTGACGTACCCTGGCTCGCACTCGAACCTAACTATGGTTCCGTAACTGCGACCTCCACCGTTCAGGATCGTGATATTCGAATGGGGGGCTTCGGGAAGTGGCGAGCACTGCGAGGCTGCGTAGAAGGAGCAATAACATTAATATGATTTTTATTTTCATCATCGGAATATAGTATGTTTTATTTCATTGAATTTAGTTGTCAGTAGTTAGAAAGTTATTTAGTTATTTAAAAATTATAATATTAATAAGGTTAATTAATTTATTGCAAATTTATTGTGTTAATTTATTTATTAACATTATTTTGTTTTTTATAGTTTTTCTTATTTTTTATATTTATTTATATACAAGGAGTCCCGTATTTTTCCGTACATACATCGGGAGTGTGTTCCACAAGTAAAAATAAGACTAAAATATTATTTAATAGAATGTCCATAAAAAATGCTTTGTTAAGAAATTGCGTCAAGAATAAGAAATGTGAAGCAGCTATTGGTCGCTATTGGGGTCGAAAGCGGTGACGAAGACCGACGCCGGTCGATAGCGACCGATAGTTACAGTAGTGGGGCAGCTGGTAAGAGGGGGAATGTGAACGCAAATGTGCCTTCTTGTCGCGCGAGGACTATAAGTATATTTAACAGCGTTTATAAATCACGTTTTGTATTTTTGTCACAAGTTCTTAACAAAACATTTATGGATTTTTTATTATATTACATTTTAGTCTTATTTTTACTTGTAAAACACACTCCTGAAATATGTACGGAAAAATGCGGAACAGCCTGTATATTCAACGTAGTAAATTACTGACAATCAGAAATTAGAAATGTAACCAGTGACTACTGATTTGAATAAAAATGGTAGAACATAAAGTGTATTTCCATATTTTATCGATTCATTTTTTCCACATTACTTTTTCGAATTTTTCGGAGAGGATTATTTGAATAAAGAATCATTCGAATCCTGAATCATTCGAATCCTGCATCATTCAAACAAAGAATCATTCAAATAAAGAATTATTCACATAAATCGATAAAATAATAAATGAAAAATAATGAATTATTCGAATAGAAAATATTCGACTAAAACAAATTCATTCAGATAATTATCTTAGATAAATTTCAGAAGTAGACTATAATTCGCGCCTCAAGTAAAGGTAAGGCCTACCGTGGAGCGACACTGCTGCTGTGTGCCCATCTCACTTAACTTGTGGGCCGTAGCCCCATTGTGGCATGCCATGTACCATTTTCGTGCGCTATTGCTCGTTCTGCAGTCTTAATTACAAACAGTATTCGTGCGCTGTTGTATTTACATTAAACATATTTACAACAACCTTACACCGCGCCATCAATATTTATTCGAAACAATCCGAATAACGCCAATCCAACGAACTCTGGTTCTCATCATTGCCACGTTGTCCTACTGACAACTTACCCAAACAAGAAGGCTTCTTCTCCCATCTGCCATCGGCCATGCACGAGATCTTCTCGGTCGGTCGACCGGATGGGAACGCGAAGCCGGCGTAGCACTGGTAGGTAGCCAAGCCTTTGTAAGTGACGTTGGACGACCCGATGGAGAAGCCGTTGTCAATTTGTGGGACTGGGCCGCAGTAGACCTCCTGGCAGTTGGGGATGTAAGTGACGGACCAGTTCCCGCTTGGGAGGCACTCTGTGGTGATCTTGGGCTTGCCGGTTGCGAACTCCTGGCCCAAGGGACACGAGAACGTGACAGGTGTGCCGAACGCGGTGTCCCTGCTGGAGGCCAGAGCTCCTTCGCCCGATTGAAGGTACGGACAGTCTGAAAATATCGAGCCGTTAGCCTTCGTTCTACAGGGTGTCCAAAAAATGTCTCGCAATCCGAAAGTGGCGGGTTCCTCGGGTCATCTGAAGCAACTTTTTCCTTTACAAAAATGTTCTTCGAGGCACCGTTAACGAGTTATTAACGAAAAACAGTGACCAATGAGAGGCGAGCTCGGCTGGCGCGAGGCGACCGAGCCGATAAGCGGAACTAGGCTTCGCGCGCTGGTTGGCTGGGCCGCCTCGCGTCAGCCGTACTCGATTCTTATTGGTCACTGTTTTTCATTAATAACTCGTTAACGGTGCCTCGGAGAACATTTTTGTAAAGGAAGAAGTTGCTTCGAACGATCCGGGGAACCCACCATTTCCGGATTGCGAGACATTTTTGGTACACCATGTATATGATCAGGCAAGTTGATCTCACCTGCTGAAAACTCAGCTTGCCAGCCAGCGCTGCTGTGCAGAGCGTCCGAAGTGAACCGGACCAGCATCTCTCCGCTCTCGGCAGTGAGCGTGATTTTCGGTCGAGTGTTGGACGTGAATCCGTTCCCAGGGTGCAGCCTGAGTCCGTTAGTGTTTGGACCATCGTAGATCTTCGGATCGGACATATAAATTAGCCTTGGCGAAAGATTCGGAAGCGGAAAGGACGAAAGGCTAAAGTTACCTGTACAAAATCAGTCTTGTGAACGTTGAAGCTGACGAATTTCAAGGACAGCGGCCCTCCTTGCGGGTTCTTCACTCTGTACAAGCATTCCTGATTGTTAGGGTAGTCGTTCAGCCCGAATGACGGCGACTGAACGGTCCCGTTCCTCGCGATGATCGTCGCTTTGCATCCCTGGGTGTATCGGATGCTGAATCCGCGCCTCGAGTCGCCGAGGCTCGTTTTCAGGTACAGGTAGAGGCTGCTGCCGGTCGACATGATCACCGTCGGATTATCCTCCGATTTTCCTGTCAGCCGGGCGATTGGTCTGCTCATCGGCGAGTCACCGTCTCGGATGAGAATGTAATCACGGTTCATTTCGAGATCCAAGTCCTCGATCTGGGGAGAAACACGGATAAAATAAGCGAGCGGTCGCTTCGAAGGATCGATTCGATATTCCTGTTCCGCGTGCACACACACAGATACGCACACACAGGCTGGCACCTACCTCCAAAGACATGATACGGCCAGGCTGCGCTTGCAGGATGTAGAGACATTCCAAGCCTCCCGGATAATTCTGCGGATATCCCGGCGAAGTGAGCACTTGTCCTTGAGGCGTCGCTCGCAGAATACCGCCGCAGGTCTGCGGTTCGGTCTTCCAAGAAGCACGGAAACCTTTCCTCTCCACGGAAGAGTCCGTGCTGAATTTAATGATCATAAAGTTCGAGGCTGATACGAACAGCTTGTTGCTCNAGGCACCGTTAACGAGTTATTAACGAAAAACAGTGACCAATGAGAGGCGAGCTCGGCTGGCGCGAGGCGACCGAGCCGATAAGCGGAACTAGGCTTCGCGCGCTGGTTGGCTGGGCCGCCTCGCGTCAGCCGTACTCGATTCTTATTGGTCACTGTTTTTCATTAATAACTCGTTAACGGTGCCTCGGAGAACATTTTTGTAAAGGAAGAAGTTGCTTCGAACGATCCGGGGAACCCACCATTTCCGGATTGCGAGACATTTTTGGTACACCATGTATATGATCAGGCAAGTTGATCTCACCTGCTGAAAACTCAGCTTGCCAGCCAGCGCTGCTGTGCAGAGCGTCCGAAGTGAACCGGACCAGCATCTCTCCGCTCTCGGCAGTGAGCGTGATTTTCGGTCGAGTGTTGGACGTGAATCCGTTCCCAGGGTGCAGCCTGAGTCCGTTAGTGTTTGGACCATCGTAGATCTTCGGATCGGACATATAAATTAGCCTTGGCGAAAGATTCGGAAGCGGAAAGGACGAAAGGCTAAAGTTACCTGTACAAAATCAGTCTTGTGAACGTTGAAGCTGACGAATTTCAAGGACAGCGGCCCTCCTTGCGGGTTCTTCACTCTGTACAAGCATTCCTGATTGTTAGGGTAGTCGTTCAGCCCGAATGACGGCGACTGAACGGTCCCGTTCCTCGCGATGATCGTCGCTTTGCATCCCTGGGTGTATCGGATGCTGAATCCGCGCCTCGAGTCGCCGAGGCTCGTTTTCAGGTACAGGTAGAGGCTGCTGCCGGTCGACATGATCACCGTCGGATTATCCTCCGATTTTCCTGTCAGCCGGGCGATTGGTCTGCTCATCGGCGAGTCACCGTCTCGGATGAGAATGTAATCACGGTTCATTTCGAGATCCAAGTCCTCGATCTGGGGAGAAACACGGATAAAATAAGCGAGCGGTCGCTTCGAAGGATCGATTCGATATTCCTGTTCCGCGTGCACACACACAGATACGCACACACAGGCTGGCACCTACCTCCAAAGACATGATACGGCCAGGCTGCGCTTGCAGGATGTAGAGACATTCCAAGCCTCCCGGATAATTCTGCGGATATCCCGGCGAAGTGAGCACTTGTCCTTGAGGCGTCGCTCGCAGAATACCGCCGCAGGTCTGCGGTTCGGTCTTCCAAGAAGCACGGAAACCTTTCCTCTCCACGGAAGAGTCCGTGCTGAATTTAATGATCATAAAGTTCGAGGCTGATACGAACAGCTTGTTGCTCAGCTCCTGCTTGCCGGACAGCGTCGCCAGGTTCACGGACTTCTCCTCCGTACGGCCGCCGACCAGGATCTGCACTATGTCGAAGCTCTTCTCCGTCTCGAATTCTTGGAACTGGGCAAACAATCTTATCAGATGCGGGACACGTGCTCGAGCTTTGGTTACCGGAGCTCGAACGTTCGAAAATTACGGCGGGAACGCGTCCTAATAGAATGGAACCGAAGTGAATCCGCGGTATTAAATCGTTTTGCCAATACCAGCGGGATTTCACTGCTACCGATGTTAGTCTATCTTAAAAAGTTGACCCTTCGAGATTTAATTTAAGCTATCTAAATTTGTACAATTCTCACGGGAATAGATTTTAAGATCGATCCGAAGTGAGCTCTCAGAAAGCAATTTCTTTGCCACGAGTTACCGAATCGGATTTCTTTGAATTTTTCACACGATTTCCAATTTTCTTCGAAGCTAGAGTGATCCTATCTCAAAGTGCAGTCTTCAGTCTTGAATTTAAGCTGTCTAAAGTGTGAAAATTGCTGCGGCAATTCATTGTGAAATCGATTCAAACGAACCCGTTAAAGTTCATCCGTTTTCAGAATTTATTATTTTGCATATGACTGAATTATAACGATAATAATGAGGATACTATTCTTTTGTTGATGGACAATTTCTTTGTTACGTAGTGTAAGGTAAAAAATAAAATATAACAAGATATGAGAAGATATATAGGGTGTTCATTTTATCTTTAGCATACGTGATATCTCTGTTGTGGCTGATATTAGAAAAAAGATGTGTACGTGAAAATTTACATGATTTCACGGATACGAAGGTAGGACAACATTTTTTTCTCAAGGTTATGTCAAGGGGGGAACCTGGTTTACAACGCTGAAATATCAGCGATTGTCAAGAATTTTTCTGTAAGTTGAACTTCTTCAACACTTTAGAGAGATTTTATCAAACATTTAAACGGTACAACAAAATTGTTCTATAATATTACTAATAAAGTCTCTTGACATTGCTGTAATTGTTCATTTTTTCAGCATCACGCCGCTGAATTCATGTGTATACAACCTAGCGGATTGAATTTTCAAAAAAATTACGGAAAAAGTGCAAACTCGAAAAAATGTAACGATTTTACAATAAAGTTGCGATTTAGACCACGTTAAAATGAATTCTCGCAGGATTTTCGTCACTTTAGACAGCTTAAATTCAAGACTGAGGAGTGCACTTCGATATAAGATCGCTTTAACATCGTAGAAAAGTTGACATCCTGCCGAAAATTCAAGAAATCAGAATCGGTACACGTGGCAAAGAAATTCGATTTTGAGGGCTCGCTTCGGATCAATGGTAAAATACATTCCCGTAGCGATTGTTTAAATTCGGATGGCTTAAATTAACGAACAGCTACGCAGCTTTTTCGACAAATTTCAACAAATTTGTCGAAACTCCAAGATCGATGAAATTCCGGCCCTTCTGATCGTGCATTGTCGTGGCCGGTGGAAAGAATAAGACGTCGTCAAGACAAGACATTTCTCCTCGTACCTGTAAAAGGATGTTGTGTCCTTGGGGCCCCTCCAAGGTCCACTTGCAGTTGCTCAGGGGTGCATACTTGTGCGGATAATTAGGACTCTCGACAACGTCGCCGCTGCTCGCCATGTAGAACTGGCAGTTAGCGGGACAGTCGATCTCGTCGGAGAAGTCGCCGCAGTCGTCCTGCTTGTCGCATTTGAACGCGGCGTTCACGCATTTACGGTTCGAACAGTGGAACGATCCTGTCGAAGATCGAAAATCGTGGGATTACGGGACGAGTACGGGGTGTGTCGGTGATTAACCCTTTTCGCTCGAACGGCGATTCCGAGGCGCCACTAAAAATTGCTATACTGTTTCTCTAAATAATTGTAAGAGTATCAGATTCGTTTATATTTTTAAAACATTGTTAAAATTGCAAATATTGTACTTGCCAGTAAGCTCAATTTCATAATAATAATATGAAATTAACAAATTAAATAAATTAAATTATATAATAAAAATTATATGAAATTAAAAAGAGAATATAATATTATATACGATAGTATTAGGTCTACCGGAAAGTTCTGTCCGTTTTCGAATTGAAATATAACACAATTTTCACACATTTAATAATATTTATTGTAGAATATACTTTCCATCGTTACTTATGACTTCTTGCCAGCGTGATGGCAACTGGTAAATGCCATTTTTAAAAAATGATTTATTTTTAGAGGCGAAAAACTCAACTAGTGCTTGGTTGACGTCAGCTTCAGTTTTGAATTTTTTTTCCTGTAAAAAGTTTTGCAAAGAGAGAAACAAGCGATAATCGGAGGGTGCTAGGTCTGGGGAGTATGGCGGATGCGACAGAATTTCCCAGCCTAGCTCTGCGATTTTCTGACGAGTCGCCGAAGCAGCATGTGGTCCGGCATTATCATCGGTAGCCATGTTTTCACGATCGCGTCTCGCTTAATAATGACATGAGACATCTTTGTTTCAGTTTATTTAGGAGAGTACGTGTGTGTAAATGCAGTGATAAAGAGAGATAGTCATNGAGTGATCCTATCTCAAAGTGCAGTCTTCAGTCTTGAATTTAAGCTGTCTAAAGTGTGAAAATTGCTGCGGCAATTCATTGTGAAATCGATTCAAACGAACCCGTTAAAGTTCATCCGTTTTCAGAATTTATTATTTTGCATATGACTGAATTATAACGATAATAATGAGGATACTATTCTTTTGTTGATGGACAATTTCTTTGTTACGTAGTGTAAGGTAAAAAATAAAATATAACAAGATATGAGAAGATATATAGGGTGTTCATTTTATCTTTAGCATACGTGATATCTCTGTTGTGGCTGATATTAGAAAAAAGATGTGTACGTGAAAATTTACATGATTTCACGGATACGAAGGTAGGACAACATTTTTTTCTCAAGGTTATGTCAAGGGGGGAACCTGGTTTACAACGCTGAAATATCAGCGATTGTCAAGAATTTTTCTGTAAGTTGAACTTCTTCAACACTTTAGAGAGATTTTATCAAACATTTAAACGGTACAACAAAATTGTTCTATAATATTACTAATAAAGTCTCTTGACATTGCTGTAATTGTTCATTTTTTCAGCATCACGCCGCTGAATTCATGTGTATACAACCTAGCGGATTGAATTTTCAAAAAAATTACGGAAAAAGTGCAAACTCGAAAAAATGTAACGATTTTACAATAAAGTTGCGATTTAGACCACGTTAAAATGAATTCTCGCAGGATTTTCGTCACTTTAGACAGCTTAAATTCAAGACTGAGGAGTGCACTTCGATATAAGATCGCTTTAACATCGTAGAAAAGTTGACATCCTGCCGAAAATTCAAGAAATCAGAATCGGTACACGTGGCAAAGAAATTCGATTTTGAGGGCTCGCTTCGGATCAATGGTAAAATACATTCCCGTAGCGATTGTTTAAATTCGGATGGCTTAAATTAACGAACAGCTACGCAGCTTTTTCGACAAATTTCAACAAATTTGTCGAAACTCCAAGATCGATGAAATTCCGGCCCTTCTGATCGTGCATTGTCGTGGCCGGTGGAAAGAATAAGACGTCGTCAAGACAAGACATTTCTCCTCGTACCTGTAAAAGGATGTTGTGTCCTTGGGGCCCCTCCAAGGTCCACTTGCAGTTGCTCAGGGGTGCATACTTGTGCGGATAATTAGGACTCTCGACAACGTCGCCGCTGCTCGCCATGTAGAACTGGCAGTTAGCGGGACAGTCGATCTCGTCGGAGAAGTCGCCGCAGTCGTCCTGCTTGTCGCATTTGAACGCGGCGTTCACGCATTTACGGTTCGAACAGTGGAACGATCCTGTCGAAGATCGAAAATCGTGGGATTACGGGACGAGTACGGGGTGTGTCGGTGATTAACCCTTTTCGCTCGAACGGCGATTCCGAGGCGCCACTAAAAATTGCTATACTGTTTCTCTAAATAATTGTAAGAGTATCAGATTCGTTTATATTTTTAAAACATTGTTAAAATTGCAAATATTGTACTTGCCAGTAAGCTCAATTTCATAATAATAATATGAAATTAACAAATTAAATAAATTAAATTATATAATAAAAATTATATGAAATTAAAAAGAGAATATAATATTATATACGATAGTATTAGGTCTACCGGAAAGTTCTGTCCGTTTTCGAATTGAAATATAACACAATTTTCACACATTTAATAATATTTATTGTAGAATATACTTTCCATCGTTACTTATGACTTCTTGCCAGCGTGATGGCAACTGGTAAATGCCATTTTTAAAAAATGATTTATTTTTAGAGGCGAAAAACTCAACTAGTGCTTGGTTGACGTCAGCTTCAGTTTTGAATTTTTTTTCCTGTAAAAAGTTTTGCAAAGAGAGAAACAAGCGATAATCGGAGGGTGCTAGGTCTGGGGAGTATGGCGGATGCGACAGAATTTCCCAGCCTAGCTCTGCGATTTTCTGACGAGTCGCCGAAGCAGCATGTGGTCCGGCATTATCATCGGTAGCCATGTTTTCACGATCGCGTCTCGCTTAATAATGACATGAGACATCTTTGTTTCAGTTTATTTAGGAGAGTACGTGTGTGTAAATGCAGTGATAAAGAGAGATAGTCATATATGTCTCAAATCAACATGTGCATATGGATTGAAACTTGAAGTGACACTATCGGACAGAACTTTCCGGTAGACCAAATATATAATTTATCATGTATTCAATTGCGAATAAATCGTACTAAATCATATAAAATGGAAATACTGTAGATTGTAAAACATGTTTTGGATTTCGAATTAAAATGTATAGCTTCGACTGCAAAGGGTTAAACTTGCGCCACGAGACGGGAGACGATTTACCTGCGGGACAGGCGTTGGCGCGGCACATGAACGGAAGCAATGATTCACACGTGGTTAGCTCCCACGTCTGCCGGTCGTCCGTCAGCGCGACGTCCACGCATTCACCTGATTGCGGATTCGGTTGCCTCGACGCCCAGAAACCTGAATACCGAAACTGTTACGAGCTGCCCGGATTCGCTGAACCCTCAACCACGAACCCAACTCGCTTCTGCATTAGAACGGTTTAATTCGCGATTACGGTACTCGCTCCGTAACTGTCACAATTTCGGGTCTACCGTGCGACAATTACGGTAAAGTTATTACACTTTTTCTTTTCTTTCTTTTTGTGCTGGTGTTCTGAACACGGAGAAGCAAAAATTAATGGACTCGCGCGAGCTTAGCCTTTCAATGCTATTTTTTTTACCGAAGATGTCTCGAAAGACACCTTTTATAATCATTTCTATTTAATTTTATTTGTACGAAATCGGTTGAATGGCGTCTTTTGATAATTTTTAATAAAATTTATTCCGTATGTTCTGCGATTTCTATGTAATCACTTCTCGACTTTTGACTATGATTATCACAAAATTAATTCGGCAAATTGTTTAATCCCTTGCCGCGCCGTTGTTGTTACAATTGTAATGATTAGAACGTTTTTCGATCGTAAAAATCGAACTTATCGCGTGTGCCTACATTTACTGGAATAATTAAATATCGATGGCAAGAGAACGGAATTTCATTTCGAGTTCACAGAACACAGTGACATTCACGCCTATCAGGTACAGTAATGTCTCCCTAACTGACGCTCTGATTGTGTAAAAAGATGGACAAAAAAAAAAAAAAAAATTTCGGAAGAGGAATTGATGGCTCCAATGACTGGTGGTTAATTTTTGAATGTTCCCCTTAATTGCTGGTACACAGTGAATTGAGCGCAAAGATGCGATCGTTAAGTTTTCTGAAATTCAAGTCATGCGAGCGCGAAGCGTGGGAAAAGAACGAGTCCTCCACTAATATCGATGATTTAATAGGATCGGAAGTAACAGAATGGTCCCGAGCCCGTCAAAGACGTGAAGGAAGTAATTCGAATGCACGTGTGCACCGCCAGACGAGTAAATTGCAACTCGTGCCGGCGCAGACGTAAAAGCGACGGTATCTGCGCATTGTTGTGGGAAAAGTATGTCTTCGTGCCGTATACACCGTTGCAGTTCCGCGTTTCCGTGACCCCGATGAAAACCGGCCGGCGCGCACACGTGCACGGACGAGTTTTATCATAGAAAAAGGTGTCCATTAATCCACCATCCAAACAGTTTCTAATTGCTAATTAGACTGGTATAGCATCCCCGAACCCATAAAACTCTACACGATATTCTAACAAAGAACGCTGGTAACCAATCAATATTTGTTTCGTTTTCGCGCATGTTGCAGTTCTCAATAAAACTAAGCTTACGCTTAGTTTTTCGAATACTGCAACATGTGTGAAAACGAAAAGAAAAGAACGCGTCCATTTACAGAAAATTGATTTATGTCATCCTGTAGCCGCCTCGAATCCATTTAATTTCTGTGAGAAATATTTTTTATGCAGTGTGTAATTAACGAGTTATTTTTTAATTGGTAGATTAAAATCGGACACCCGGTACATTGCCCAATGTTATTACTAAATGTAGAGCCCAGTTCGTACTGAATCTGTACAATGATCTCACACGAAATTGAATATATTTAATATGAAATCTAAAGATATATAA